ATGATGATGATGATGATGATGATGATGATGATGATACCCAAGCGGCAGATCAGGGACAGAGGGTCGTAATAGCGAAAAGAGGGGGAAACTACCTCTAACTTGGAAAGGAGATCTGAGACGGAGAAGAGCTGACGTTCTAGCTTTGCGACGCCAGCATCGGCCTCCTCCAGATTGCCCAAACTTGAATTCTGCTGGTAGGCGGTCTGAAGTCGTTTTGTGGCAGCCCTAGAAAGGCAGAGAGCAGGGTGGCAAGGTAAGTACATGTTGGATAAGTGAACTAAGTTGCATCCCGAGGTTATATGATGAAAATAAAGAAGATCTTCGGAAAATCGAGTAGTATTTGTGCATTTTCGAACAGGTATCACTTGTTTTTCGCCAGACTAAATGAAAAGTGAGGGCTGGGAATGTCGCACTAGAGGTTTGGGGGGGGGGACAGAGGTCACAACGAAATGGGATGGGGCCAGGGAGAGGGTTACGATGACATGAATTCTGCGGCGATAGGTTGTACAGGTAAGGGGAGGGGTGTTAACGTTTGGATTTTGGGCCACGTGCTCCGGAGGGAGGGGGAGGTTCTAAAACCAGTGAAATTCTACTTGAACGAGCTGTTGTTTCAGGCTGGGCGCAGGTTAGTGGACCATGCGCGGAAAACGGCATAGTATGAATCAAGGTCTACGTGTCTGTTAATACTGGCCGGGCTCGAACGCCAAACTCCGAGCAATTCTCTCTCCTGTCTCGTATTAGCCATTGCGATCACCTCGGTGCAGTGATCACACTCAAGGGAGTGCGCAATTACGAGTGATAAAGGGTCCCGTCGGCAAACGGCTAACTTATGTTCCTTGATGCGAGCCTCGAGAGGGCAAGACAAAGCTTGTCGGATATCCGTCGGCCCGGAAAAATGTGTACAAATACGCTAGTTCTCTCTTGAGTAAACCCTTATTACTGCCATAGTGGTAGGTCTATTGGAAAAGAGTACGAACACATATTTCGCAACGGAACAATAACACGCCAACACGAAGGCATAAATAATAAAAAAACACTCCACTCCTTAGAACTGCGTTGCAATCGGCACGGCGCCATCACAGCGACAAAAAAAACATGTTCAAGACACCAAAGGACGCGTCGGCCGTGAGTGACTGTCTGACCCGCCCACAAAGAAGGACGGAACGGCCCGTTGCATAAACTACCGGACTAGGAGACGATTACGTTGTGTTCGAAGGTCTTTCAGTAGGAGGAGTCGCCGAGAGTGGAGCAACTAGCCTGTGAAAAATACTCATCCTTCGACAAGAATGTCTAGTGCTGCCCTGGTCAGTTAGTATCTGCAAAATGTGATGAGGTTCCCGTTAGAAAATGGACAGTTCTGGTCCTAATACTTTAGGATATAGAAAAATTGGGAGTAGTAAATATCAGAGAATACCACCACACATCCATCGAATATGAGATCAGCTTATATGGGACCAATGGCATATTCGTTAACTAGAAGGCGTAATATTCGTGCAGCTTATTCAAACGCGGAAAAACGGAGGTGTTCTTGCGCGTGGAAAGTTAATGAACATTATAATTGTGTAAACACCGTCAGAAACCCAACAGGAGTACTCAGGCAATGAACATACATGCCTTCTACAGCCTGAAAACTTCCCACAATGAGCCGAGGGAACAGCATTTTTAATGTGCGTATTAATATTTAACTTGTCACGATGCATGACAAGTCGGTGACGGGTCAGACATCCGAATTTTCCAGACACTCCTGTCTATTCCGCTCACCAAAGCGGTGGAAACCCCCGTCTGCGGAAAACTTACTGCTATCAAAGCGGGCTTTTTCAGTTGTGCGAAGCGAAAACCGCAGTAGCCTAAGAACTCCCTTGAGAGTAGGGCCTTAAGATGAGTGACAGAGCAGAGCATGCGGCGTGTCAGCCGGTTCTCTGACATCAAGCAGACGAAACGTGTCATTTTTGTAACGAGGTTAAAGAAAGTGCAGATTTTCTAAAGCGCGGGACTCAACTGGCGCAAAATGCTCCAACCTCATCAGATTTGATATTTTGCAACAAACAAAGTCGACAAGATTAGATAGTAGTCCAATGCAGTAGGAGAAGGACTTAGTAATCAGACTTAAAGAGGAGTAAGCTTTGCACTATTGTTCACGCAAATAATCGGCCTTATCAGTTAGCAAAAACTTCAGCTTCAAATAGAAGCAGATATGCGTGCCCCAGGTTCTAGTTGTAAAGAAGAAAAAGACGCGATTTCTGGAACGGCAATTTTATTCTTCTGAACTTTTGGCTCCACACGAGACGCTATGGTCAGAGAAAATGAGAAAGCAGCAAACGTTGGCTACGCGTAAATGGGGGTGGGAGGGGGTGGCACTTGTGATTGGTCCATGCCCACGCCATCTTATAATGTGTCCCCTGGAGTTCTAGTGTGTCCTTGACAGGCGAGCCTGTGTGCTTGGACGGGAACTGGGCCGTGGTTTTTGGTCGCGAGCACGGATGGCAAAATAACAGGGCGGTATGTCAAAATGCCTGTTGATAGAGTTGGAGTCTGATACCCAGACCTCCAGTAGTTCTCGCACCGTCTTAATAGAAGCGCGTGCCATTATCCGCGTGCCCGAAAAGTCGAATTCATGGCCTTCTTCTAGAGTGTGGGAGCGATCTGGGACAATGGGTCGCCTCTCCGCCCTGCCCGTTTGTGT